CGCTAGAGTACAAAGGCTTCGATGGGCTGGTCATGTGGTACGGATGGATGCCGACAGATTGCCGAGAAAGGCCTTGGATGGTAAAATGCAGGGCAGAAGACCAAAGGGAAGACCACGTAATAGATGGGAGAACGAAGTCACAGCAGATGCGCACAACTTATTGAACGTCAGGGCTTGGAGACGAGTGGCGCGGGATCGCCTTTGTTGGAGGCAGAAGTTACAGGAGGCCAAGGCTCAATTTGGGCTGTAGCGCCATTGGAAGAAGAAGAAGAAGAAAACCTCTAAATTGTCTAAAACCATTTAAATTCTTCGTTTATTGTTAATTATGGTTGATCTGGATAAATGAAAATAGAAACATTTTGTACGATTTTTACGAATGTAACCAAATAAGTCAATCCTAGCACGAAATAGATGTTTGTAAATGACTGCATTTATGTGCAGAGTTATTTATATTTTATATTGATTCAATTATAAATCAACTATGGATTTGTACTCACGCGTCACTTATTTTTTAAATAATTGATCAAGTATAAACTTAAACATTTATGAGATTAATTTGTTAAGTAATCAATTATTCCAATTTAAATATGCATACCCCCTTTGTGTTTGTCCTTACTTCATTGAATATTCTTACTTAGGTATATTACTACTATCTAAATTATGAAATGACACAGAATTTTTTACTCTGTAGCATAAAAATCAATTATTGTTTAATTTTTCAATTATACTCAATACCTTCAGTTACATGATTTATATAACAAATTAATACTTTACTGCGGCTTTACATAATTTTATTTCAAACGAATATATATGTGGTATTTTGTATATAGCATTAATCATCTAATCATGTTAAGAAATCTTTACTTGTGCTATTAATCTATAATCTCTCTTTTCTCTCAGCAGTACTTGATGAAATATGCTATATAGTGTTTATAAGGCTCTCAATTTATATTTGTAACAAAATTTAATACTTTCGAAAAGAAAACATTAAGATTAATTATATCAAGAACGGACAAAGTCAGCCTGTTGTAAAAATTCATTGTAGCATACACTTTTACGTTGAGGAAAATATAGTTCTGCCCTAAAATAAGTTTTTCTTAAAACTACTTGTTTTTTGGTATATCATGTAAGAAAGACGGTAGTTAATATAGGAAAAAGAGCTTAACCCTGTAACACTCTTCTTTATATTTATATGTCTTCAAACAAAGTATTCTTAATTTTCTCATTTTCTATAATTTTAGTATCTTTGTATCTAAAAATGTTTTATTCGATATTTCCATTAGAGTTTTATGAGACACTCGATCGGAAGCGTTTTCGAAATTCACAAAACATACAAACATGTCCTTTTAGTGGTCTAAACATTTTTGTGTTAGTATTTGGAGGCAGAACACAGCTTCTCTATTTACATGTCTTTCCTAAATCTAAATTTGCTCAACTCCAAAAATTGCTTTGCATTTTTTTTGTAAATTTTATTTTGTATAATTATGATTGTAGTTTCAAGACGTGGCTCGTAAGGTTTCCTAGTGGCATTGTAGATTTGATTGAGGAGGTATATTAATATCAATAACATACACAGTATAGCATAATAATAATCCATTTTTTTTTTTGTTTTGTCAAACTCTTGTACTTTGGCTTTGTTAGTTGCATTTCCAAAAACGTTCATTGCGCCGAATTAACGCATTGCGCGTATTTTTATTATTATTATTATTATTCAGAACAATATTTTTCATTATGCTGTAGGTTAAGATATAGTATTTTTGTTGCTTTGATCTCGGCAAAAATTTGCTTTGTATATTCTTTGCGGCATAGCTATTTTTGCGGACGTGTATGAACTCATCACTTTATAGCCCCCTTTATAAAATTATTAGACCCACCGAGATATATAGCAAACTGATCACCGGCATCCTATGAAGATTGGTAAACTCATCATAGCTGGTAGGTAAGCTGGCAGAAATTATTTTAAGGGAGTTGTGGTGAGAAGCTTATAATATCTACATCGGCATTTATGCCAATTGGTGATGAGTTTATCTGTACCCGTTTTTTGCATTCATAATTATTTTTTTTTCATCCATTCGCTTGATGTCATCAGTCCATTTGGTTTGAGGTCTGTTTCTGCTTCTCTTATTTGCTCTTGGTCGCCATTCAATGATTTGCTTTGTCCAACGGTTGTCTTTCGCTCCTCTTATGTGTCCTGCCCAGTTCCATTTTAACATGGCAATCTTTTGAATTGCAAAATACTAAAAAATATTAGTAATTAACGTTTACGCCCCCACAAACGAAAGTAATGAAGAAGAGAAGGAAGATTTCTATGAGCAACTCCAAGCAACACACGACAATGTGACTAATAAATACAAAAGATGTAATAAAAAATAGTAATTGAAGACATGAACACCAAGTTAGGGGATCATAATATTAGACATAAATCAGTTATGGAAAAGGAAGGATCAGGAGAAAGAAATGATAATGCAAGTCGGCTGATACACTTTTGTAAACAAAACGTTTCTGGCATCCTTAGTTTCCAGCATTTTTGTCGAAACAATCTTCAGTTTTTAAATCTCTGGCGGTCATTGCATCTTTGACATCTCCTCTCCATGACCGTCTTGGTCTACCTCGATTTCTTCTGATGATCGAAGTTCATTTTTCTATCTTTTTTGGCCATTTATTTTCAGGCATTCTCTGCTTTGGTCCATACCAGTTTAGTCTTTTGGCTTCGATAGTGTCTATTATGTCTAAGTCAATTTCCATTTCTCTGCTAATCTAATTAAGTCTGCTAAGTCTAATTAGCCAGCAATATTGTCTTCAATAGTCTATGTCCATGGCCTCTGCTTGGGTAATGCTAGAATATATTTCTTCGTTACTCCCTGCTTTGATGTTATTTGGATTCCCAAGTATTTGAAGGTTTCAGTTGATATTATAGTCCCCATTTCAATTTGTAAGCGTTTTAGTTTTTCTTCTGCAACTAAGCACTCGGTTTTTGTATATTAATTGTAAGGCCCCACTTGATGTACTCTTCCAGTTTTCTAAGCATATAATCTATGTCATTCTTATCTTCAGCTAGAATGGCTTGGTAGTCAGCGAAGTGTATCCTGTACAATCTCTCGTCCTCGATTGGGATGCCCAGATTGCAGCATTTTCTCCTCCACACTGAGAGCGCCTCATTCAGTTATATTTTGAAGAGTGGAAGTGCTAAGCAGCAGCCTTGCTTTAGACCCCTACTAACAGGAACTTTTCTAGTTAATTTTTTTCCAGTTTTAATGTTTATCGTCATATTTTTGTAAAGTTGTTGTACTGCTTTTATATATTTTTTATTTATTCTTTGTTTTTCCATTGTTATCCACAGCATCGAAAGTGGTACACTATCGTATACTTTTGCCAGATCTATAAAGATTACAATAGTTGAAAGGTTGTGAGCTTATCTTATCGTGAGCGTAAGATCTGCCTGCACGAAAGCCAATTTGTTTTTGTACATCTGTCATATCTTTTTAAATTTTATTTTTTATTATTTTTCAATAGAGTCTTGAGAGTGAATTTATGACACTTAATCCTCTGTAGTTTGAACAATTCTTCCTATCTGCTTTTTTGTAGATTTCGTTAATATGTGCTTTTGTCCACTCCGGTGGTAAGTCATGTCGTCTATAGAGTAAGGTGAAGACATAAGCTAGTAATTCCCGCAATACTTGTGAATTGTGTTTTAGTAATTCGTTCGTAATGCTTTTTGATTTTGTAGATTTCATATTGCATCTTCGACTTCCTCTACTGTTATTTCATCGTCTTCATCGTATTCCACTTCATATGTTGTAATGGTGTTCGTGAATTGCGATCTTGTTTCAGTCTGAAGTTGTGAGTAATATTCGAACCAAGATCTTTTATTTATTAAATATACTTTACCAACTTATTTTGTGTTTGTTCCCAGATTTTTTACCGTTTACCATACTTCTCTTGATCTTGACTCTAAATATTTGTTGAGCTCTTCGCATTTACTTTTCAAGGAAACATGTTTTGCTTGAACTGCTAGATTTTGTACTTCTCTGTTTGATCTTGCATGTTCGTCTATCATCTGGGTCACTTTTTTACAGCCACTTTTGATATACATATATCTTGTTGTGTACTGCATTAACGGTGTCATTTGTGCACCACAATGGAGTATCCCTTTTGTTTCTTTGGATCGTGACGAGTGCTTTATAAACTGCTTCATTAACTTTATTTATTATCTCTTGGTAGGTGTTCTGGGTTGTAGTCCACTGTAGTGGAAGTATGTTTTTAACACAAAAAGATATACACAAAAACGTGGAAGTCTATAGGAGGAAGATACAGAAATCGAATTCATGCACTGATTCAGTCAAAATTAAAAAACTGGCTATGATATGGTAGGAGCAGATGTGGGATTAGACCACATGCTAGTCAGAGACAAAATACAGATGAAATGAAATAAAACAATCCGATAAATATAAATTTTGAAACTGGAGATTCATTGAGTAGTTTGATAATTGGTTTGATGTTGTTTATAACTTTTTGTTTTATTAAAAGGTTCTACTACTACATGGTTTAGCGCCTAAACTTTCTATTTTTATTGTTGGTAATATTTGTTTAATTTAACAATAAAATTGCAGATTGATTTACATCTGGCATTTCTTTATTCGTTAAAAAAATAAGAAGGGGTCCATTATATCAAACATTACCTTATTCTTAATTGTAAATTTTATCATTATTGAATACATTTGTCCACTAAAATATATAAAGTTACTTATAGTTAATATTGCGTAAAAATGTTATAAAGCTTTTCATTTATCATATCAAAGTATTAATTTTTTATGAAAGCATCCAGCTGAGCCTTATAAACTATTATTTAAATCCTTATACACGTGTGAACCGATTTTTTAAACGAAAAGAAAATATCTAATGCTATTTTTTTCTTTTTTTACATTTGCTGCCCCTCCGGTGGCATATATGCTACCTCTTTGTGCCACGTTACATCCTACTGTCATCTTTCTCTATTGTAGATGGTCACGCCTGACGCTCTCTTTACACTATTTGGTATGTTTTCACACTTAATTATATTTCTTCTGTTGCCTAGATAGATACACTAAACATGAACAAACTGAATTAATTAAACAAGCTATAATGCAATTTACTTGAAATTTTCACGAATATTGTAGGTGTATCTAGCTAGGAGCAATTATTTAAAAACTCTGTTCTTTTAAAATCATAAATAACATCAATAATTATTTATATTTTATGAGTATACATTTTTGGTATTTTTCACTATGTCATGCGCATCTCTTGTTCATGATGTAATGTATAAAGCACTCTCCCAGTCACAAAGGAAATGCATTGATATAGGAATTTTTATAGATGACCGATGAAGTCATTTTTGAGAAGGAACTTGGTGACAATGAACAGGAGAATATATGACCAAAAAGATATTTGCAGATTATATCAATGGACCAAAGGAGATTAATAAAAAAGAGGGACGCGAAGAAATACCAAGAAATCAACCAAACATTTAAAAAAGAAATACGAAGAGCCAAGGAGACATGGATGGAAGAAAAATGTAAACTAATCGAAGAGCTAAGTGAAACACGATTATATAAATATCGACCGAAAGATTCGAGAAGCCAGTGGTTAATACAAGAGGAGAAACACACACCTTATGGTTATGGTTAATTTAATTTTAACACCCATTATGAGACAATAACCAAAAGGAGATATGTTTCCATTCGATTGTGTATGGTCAATATTAGATGCTTTTATCAATGCAAGTACTTTTCGTGCACATTAAACCCAGAACACAAAATCACATTAAATTTTAGTAAAGCGTATGTTATTTTATATTGTATTTTTTATTTATACCGTAGTAATTAATTAAAATAACAGAGTTTAAATCCAATTTGCTTGTTTTTCCAAAATTAACCATTTCAAATTTCCGAAACTACCAAGTGAATTGGATGAATAGTTATTAGGGATTACCAAAATTGATTATAAATAACAGTTGTTATCATTTTCGCCAGATTTAATTAAATTTTTTTAACAGGCATCATCTAGGTATGTTAATAATGATACATAAACTTGTCTTTCTTTAATTCTTAGGTCATTTTGGATTAAAATACATTAATTACAATATCATGACTTTAGTTGTGGTCATTTAGTAAAAAGAAGCTTATTGTGCTTTCATAAGGCATTTTTAAAAATATTTAGGAGAAAATGCATTGTAAACGTGAAAATAAACAGCCAAAGCATATAATCGTCTAAAGAAAGAATGCTACAAACTAACAGTATAATCTAAAAATTTGCTATGAAGCAAGGCATGCAGACACAACACAATAAAATAAAATTACGGTATAGGTAGTATATTCGCTTTCAAGATTAGGAAAAGAAAACACAGCGAAGCGAGTGATCAGAGGAAGTGTCTCTTCGTTATCTGTGTAAACACTTCAACATTGGTCATAAATCGAAGCATGCCTTCACTAACTAATATTTAAAGTACTATATGGACTGTTTATGTCACTCAAGTATGTTACTGTTTTGATGAGAGATGAGATGAGTCTAGATCTCAGATTACCCCGAGAAAACACATTTTTGCTAGAAAGAAAACAATCGAGTCTTATAACTAGATAACATGTATTAGATAGTAAGTTGAAAATCAAGACTTTCAACAGGAGGTTTATAGACAATTTTGCTGAGAATATAAATTTTGGGACTCAAAAACGATGCAAAAAAATTTTACCACTTCTGGTCCCGGGCTTCGCCCTACAAGGGGGTGGGAGCAGAAAACATCGATTAGCCAAGAATCTGTACGACATAGAAAAAAGTGTTTCAAATAAGAAACTTAACTGAGAGAATTTTGAACAAAAATCGTTCTCTCAGAAATAACGCTTGAAGCAACCGGCAATTTTTAATGTCAGTTACATCAGTTATGTCATGTATCAAATCGACGGTAACAAGTCGGTATCTTTTGATCAGAGTGTCCTATCGATAAAATTCCAAATGAATTTTAACGCTGAAGAGTACAGTTTTCGTATCCAATTCTTGTATTTTGCTATCCTGGGAAATGCTTACAAAAATACGACATTAGATGGAATTTAAAGAAAAAAATATTATAGGCAGAGACGATTGGTAAAAAACACAGTAATACAAGCAAAAGCAAAATCATGGAAAGAATTTGGAGAAGAACTACAAGAAGGAAATGTAAAAAATAGTAGAATCTTTTGGACGACAATAAGACACATGAAGGGAGGAAAACGTAAGGAAATAAAAGTGGTAAGAGGTACATCAAAGCAAATATAAATAAACCCAGAGCAAATATTATGAGAAAATATTATGAGAAAAAATTGGAAAGAATATTATGAGAAAAAATTTGATACCGAAATAATGAAGGAAGACAATGTAATAAATGAATGCGAAGAAAACATAGAGCTAGAGCAAATAAGTAGAAGAATATAGTAAAAGTAATAGAGGAATTTCAAACATAAAAATGAGCAAGCAGGTGTAGATGATGAAATTGAACCGGAAATGGTAAAATACATAAGAGAAGAAGGAATAAACTGGCTATAGAAAATATATAAAGAGGCGTGGGAAAAACAAACAATCACTAAAGACTGGCAGATCAACATCATCGTGCCAATATGCAAAAAGGGAGAACCTGTAAACTACGACAACTATAGAGTAATATGTCTGTCATCAGTATGCTTTAAGATATATACGAAACTAATAGAAAAGAAGACAAGAAGTAGAATTGGAACTGGGAGAAGAACAAGCGGCATTTAGACTAGGAAGACGTACAATTGACAACATGTATATCATTAGGAACCTAATAGAACAGAACAGAACCAGAATGGGGGACAAAGAAATCCAAATATTATGTTATGCAGACGACGCCGCATTAATCGCCGAGACAGAAGACGAGCTCCAAAGATTAACACAGATCTTCAATACAACAGTCAAGAAATACAATATGATAATAGCAGCAGAAAAATCAAATGGATGACATCATCTAAATACCCAGTATGTAAAATCAAAATTGATGGAAAAATAATAAAGCAGGATGCAAGGTTTAGATATCTGAATATAGCCATAACTAGTTAAAGTACGACAACAAAGCTTAAAAGAAAGTAAAGCGGTGGGATCTCTTAATTACACAATCTGGAAGAACAAACACCTAAGACAAGACACTATAACATACACGCGGAGGCAAGACCTGATACATCTAAAACGAGGCGACTACTAGAAACAACAGAGATGAAAATAGTTCGACGAATATCAGGAAAAAGTCTGTTGGATAGGGAGAGAAGCGAAAACATAAAATCTTCGAAATGCTCCCCACGAACGCCTTGGCAACACCCTATCCGTGAATAGAAATTTATTCTAACGATAGTCAACATCTCAGATGTGATCGATCTAATCGCAAGCGTTATTAGTCTTCGTAAGTCAGCTAAGTCAGTGGGTTTAGTTTTGTTTACAATCCTTTGTACATATCCTCATAAGAAAAAGTCTAATGGCATCAAATCGGGGGATAGTTGGGGGATAGTGGTGGTCATTCTATCTATGCTCGCCTTCCTATCCACTGATTTGGAAATATTTGGTTGAAGTACTGCCGGACATGAAGTTGGTAGTGGGGTGGTGCTCCATCTTGTTGAAACCATATCATATTCGCTAGAACTTGTGGGTTTCCTGGATTAGGATACAAGTTGGTCAACGTTGGCACTACATTATTTTGGAGCAATGCCAAATAATTGTCGCCATTCAAATTGCTATCTATGAAAAAGGTGCCTATGATCTGATGTTCAATAATTCCTGCCCACACGTTAACCCTCTTGCTTTCTCTCATCTAGTGAGGATTTTTCCTGACCCAATAGCGGCAATTTTGCCGCTAATTGGATGACATTGCTGTCTATCATTGCCATCATTTGTTCACCAAAATACGTTCTCCTGTCAAAATCATCTTCCATGAGCTCCTGAGTGTATTATTTTATAGGGAGGCATTTTGTTTTCTTGTAATATGGACATGGAGCTGCTTTTCGAACAGATGTATGTGGATGTTCCTCAAACTCAAGCATAACAGCCAATTTAGTATCCTCACTTATTGCATTGGCAGCTTCTTTTTTTACCTTCTTAACATGCCCAGCTCGAGGAATTGCTTCTCTATGTTGCTAATTGTCCCTTGAGATATCTGCAGCAAATCAGGAAATGCTTCCTGAACTAAACGAGCTACTTCCATTTGCGTCCGTATCTTATCTCCATTGCCAATCATCTGTATAATTGTTATTTTGTGAATTTCTGTTAAAGGAACCATTTTTCTGGCTTGCGGTTAATCAAATTTAAACGACTATAGCACTGACAACTATTTCTGTCATGCTACGATAAAACATTGGCTTTTTAAACCAAAGTAAACAATTTTTTGTTTTTTTTTTAACATATCAATATAAAGGTATACTTAAATAGTTTTTGCTTACTTTATCATTACCAATGGACAAGAAGAATTAAGACAGTGGTAGCGACTTCCGACAAATTAAAAATTTCTCTTTTCTAATTATGAATTTTTGCATTTTACTTAATATTTCCGAAACAGTCAAAGATATGTATAGGCCCTTGTATTCAAAAAAATGTCTAAAATGATCTGAGGAATCTAAAAGTTAATAAATATACAGGGTGTTCTATTTAAAATAAGCAAGTTGGTATTGGCCACCGTTATCTGATACACCTCGTATAAAAAGTTTTTATGGAAAAAAATGCGCAACTATAAATACTAATCGACGTGTTCGAGCGTTTTTTCGAATACTCCCTCATTTATTTATTAGCTAATTTATTCCATTTGGCTGACACACAGGGTATGTACCAAAAGAATTTTTTCGTACACCACTGAAATTCCGGAAACAAGATCGGCTATTGTTACTATAATAGCTACTTTTGACGCAAGTATTTATTCTTGAAATCCATCCTTATTATATCATGTCGATGGTTATTATATATTTAGTTATATTAAACCGAGAAAATGGAGACCTAAATTGTAGTAACCAGCTTTTCACATATATGATATCAATTTTGGTAATCTCTATTAGTTACTTATTACCTTAGTTTTACTTTTAATTATTTTAAATTTGTTTAGATAAACAGAAGCATTTGTTTCTTTATTTTTCGTTGGTCAATAGCTTACTGCTTAGATCCATCTATAGTGATTGTGTTTTTATCGTTTTTTTACTATATTTATCTTCACTTTTCTATTAGAATGCGTAAAAAGTTTTTTCTTTCTAATTGTTTTGCATGTTTATTTCATGTTATTTCAATGTTTCTTTTATAATTTCTTGTTTCTCTAGTTTTTGTGTATGGAAATCTTTCTATTAAATTATAGTATTAATTTTATCTAATTTTTTATCATTACTCGAGTTAATACAGTTTTAATGTTCCGTGTATGTTTTATGTAAGTATTTTGTTACGTAGTTTTTAAAATATTATCTTTTAGGGGTATATGGTGATGTACAACGGGTAAAGATTTTGTACAACAAGAAGGATTCAGCCTTAGTTCAATTGGCGGAACCACACCAAGCCCACTTGGGTAAGTATTATCTATTTTAAATAACGTTATCGTTACCAGTTAACTCCTCGAACCATTTCAACCAAACGTCAGCATCCTTATTTCTTTCAACAATTTTACGCTTACAACAACAACACCGTTAGTGGAGTTTTTTCCCACAAACACCACTGTGTTTTCCCACCTCTAGTTTACTTGTTTTCAGTATATAAACCCCATGGACGTATAAACACAGATGGACTCAGTTATTTACATAAAATTGTGAAGTCAAAATTATTTGAATAGGTCACATTCTCAGCACCTTCAGCTGTTGTCACGTTTTGTTTTAAAATTTCTTATTCGCGAGTCGCTGAAAATATTACTCCGTATTTTATACTCTACAGGTGCTATCAAACCAAAATAATAATTTGTTGGTTAGATTAATATATTTAATTGTAATCAAAATATAAAGTGTGCACATAGTGTGCATTATCATTTAATAATAACGTATAATTTAGATATCAATCAATTATTTTATATGTAGAAGCACTGAAAACTATTTATAAATGGCAACGGTTGTTTACATTTCTCTGTCTTATGGATCTACGTCAAACTTCAAAAATGCTGTTCCATGTTTGTATACTTTTTAGTAAAAGTTGTTTTTCGATATTTTGGCTGTATTATGAGTGATATTTGTGAAAAGTGAAATAAAATAAACGAAATATTTACATCCCGATCTCTCATTTCATTTGTAAGTACATACAATTTACATTATTTAAGATGAGGAACTGAGGAAGCGTGTTTATTTACATTTTAATAGGCGTACCATCGGGTTTATTCATTTTCATTAATGTATTAAATAAGATATAAGTTCATGAAATTAGTAGACATTTTTAAATTGTAAGTAGACATCATCTGATAAAAAAAGATCTATTTAGTGCCTTTTTAATTTAATATTTCTTATGGATGCAAATAAATTAGTGAAATGAATAAAACTCATTTATTTTTCTATGTAGGTTTCCAAATAATATTGACGATCGAACTATTTTGGTAGCAAATTTAGGAGAAAACAAAGATTTTTTATTGTAGAATTATTTTGATACCTATTAAAAATTAACTTGAATTCAACTATATTTTATTGTATTAATTTTAAAGCAAATAAAATTGTATTTTAATTTTTCTATAAAGACGTGATTTGTTAATAGTTAAACTCTCGTTTTTTTAAATTCTTTGAACGTGTTTTTATACATTATTACTACTTCCAATTTTTAAAATATGAATAATTACCCGCGAGTAATAATTCAAGCACGCTTATGCTCATTGCAGAAGCAGCACATTCTATCGAAGCTTCAAAACATGGTGTGTTAAAGGTATCTTATTGCTGTGTCAATCTATGTTTATACGTCCATGATAAACCCTGTAAATACAATGTGATTTTATGTTATTGGTAGCAAAATTCAAGAAAGTTTAGTTGTTATATTAATATATTAATGGATATAAACAAAATCTTTTGGAAATAAATAATTGTTTTTTTAGCCATAACTCACATGGACAAATTAAAGGTATTCGGTAAAAACATTAGAGTAATGTTAAGCAAGCACCAGAGCGTACAAATGCCTAAAGAAGGCCAACCCGATGCCGGTTTAACCAAAGATTACAGCCAGAGTCCATTACATAGATTCAAGAAGCCGGGATCTAAGAATTATCAGAATATTTACCCACCTTCTTCGACTTTACATTTAAGTAACATTCCTGCGACCATCAACGAAGAGGATATCAAGGAAGCTTTCGAGAAGAACGGTTTCACCGTCAAAGCTTTTAAATTTTTCCCGTAAGTATTTTTTATTTAACTTTCTATAATAAATGTCTGAATGTATCAAAAGAAACAATGTAACATTTTCTTATTTTCGGAGCCTTATTATGTTTACATTTCGAAAAATTTCTTCCTACTGTACTATTTTATTTTCGACACAATCAATCATTTATAACTTCATGTTCGTAATAATAAAGTCCATGCAAGTGTGACAGGTAGGTCTTTTACACGACAGACTCAGTAAAACACAGGTTTAATTTAAATAAAAATATATTCGAAATAAATAAATAGTGCCCGCCTTGAGGCGCGAATATATACTGGTTTTTGGGGCATAATGCACGGCTTGAGACGCGAATGTATAATGCTTGAATTTCCGCTCCAATCCAACAATTTATAGGAAAAAGGCAAACCGAAAGTCGCTAGACTTTAACGGGTTTTAACGAATGTTTATAGACTTATTTCTTAACATAATTTGAACAATAAACTTTTAAACCTAACCTAACCTACATTCAGAAGTTAATGGAAAATGGTTGACAAAGAGAGAGAGCATACCATTTTTCCAAGAACAATAAAAGCTATTGTTATAGATCCATGGTATGCTCTCTCTCTCTTTGTCAACCATTTTCCATCCACTTCTGAATGTAGGTTTCTCCCAATTGCTTCCATCTTTCTCTATTTTGTGCCAATCTAATCCACTATGTGCTGTCACTGCTCTTATGTCATCTACCCATATTTTTGAGGTCTTTCCATGCTTCTTGTTGTCGTCCTTGGTCTCCATTCTAGAATTCTCCGTGTCCACCTGTTGTCATTATATCGGGCTACGTGACCTGCCCAGCGCCATTTAATTTTTGTAATTTCTTCCACGATATCCCTAATCTTCGTTCTACGTCTTATCTCGATGTTCCTAATCTTGTCTCTCGGTGATATTCCAAGCATGATTCGTTCCATTCCTCTTTGCGTTGTTCCTATTTTTTAGCAGATTTTTGGTAAGGGCTACTGTCTCCAAGCCGTAGGTACAAACTGGTAGTATGCATGTGTTATACACCTTTTTCTTTAAGTTTACAGGAATGGAGGTTTTTTTCAAGATATATGTTAGTTTGTCGAAAGCGTCCCATGCCAGTTATGTTCTTCTTTTAATTTCAGCATCTTGATTTGGTTTTCCTAGTTTGATGACATGACCTAGATATAGGTACATAATGTTTAACATTTTCTATGGTATGGATCCATGGTATTCAGCTATTCGATATTGTTTTTCTATCTGGAATGTTATAATTAGTGTTTAGCATCTGAAGGGCTACGGGAAAGAACGATCAGACTCACATTTTGTTCATTTTGTACAAATCGAATTTTAAAGTTTTAAGTCGTTTATTTTAGTTCAGGAAAATTAAATACAAAATATTTAGTTATCAGTTTATTACTGTAAGACTTTTTAATACAAAAATGAAAAAAATAGTTTGCTAATTATATATGTACTTGAAGTCTTCAAATTTTTAATTAAGGAGCTGGACTCTGATCTATTTTGCGCGTTAAATGTCAATTGGTGGATATTTGGCAAATTCCACATCACTACCTTCATTCGTAACGCCATCGGAAACTAGTCCTTGGTAAAAGGAATGCGCTTCAGGGTTTGTCAGGAATTAGGTTAGGTGCAATAAATAAATTATGCCACTTAGCAGTCTTTAATAGGCAGAAGTTCATTGTATAGCTTCTTTAGTGGAACAGGTTTTAATTTTCTCTTACGCGCCTGATTTTTTGAGGGAACTAACACAGCTGTAAGATATAGGCCAAAATGATGGACTTTGTGTAACACAAACCGTGGGTGGTTTTTTTTATTTTTAAAATCCTAATAGGCCTAGTCGCCGTAGGACATTTTGGCACATAAAGATGGGACAAATGTGTAAAGACAAAAATACTTTATAGCAAAAAACAGTATCTTGTAACGAGCCACTCACATTTACCCGAACTCTATAGCTATAAGAAGATTGACTAAAACTTGCTTCAGCTTTAGGGTTTTGGCTTCTCCGTCTACCAACAGGTATAACCGTGGCAATACTTGTTAAATATTTGTTTTGAACACTGTAGTCCCCTAACTCATTAAAATGAGAAATTATTCGTTGTCTTTCATTTAAAGAGATGACTTGAAAACAGTAATAACGAATGCACTTACAGTCTTCCCCGACCTCGTGAGTATTGATGCGTAATTTTTTTCATCACTCATTTTGCCGGTTTCTCCGATTTTTGACATTTCCAGTCTGATTATTTCCATTAGATATATCACTATCACTAAGATCACTTGACATTATGAATTTTCTCATAAACAAACTGAAAACTGCAAAACAGCAGCAGCTCGCTTAGCGATTACAGAATAAAACTGACGCTAAGATGCTATAGATGCAAACGATAATCTACGTTTAGTTACAAGGTCGTCGGAATCTGATCGTTATTAGCCGTCAGCGGGAGGAACCTGATCGTTCTTCTCCGTTGGCTTATATCTTTCCCCTTTATTATCTTCAATACGGTGATCGTTATTGTACAAATGAAACCATGCTTGGGTTCTTTCCAAGAAAAGCTAAAATATGACGTCAATATCTAAATTCCAACCAAAAATGGAGTCTGATCGTTCTTACCCGTGGCCCTTCCTGTATAAATTTTTAAATTCAGGGTCTTTGAATGGTTGGAACTCTTTTACAATAACTCTAATTAATTGTTCATCCAGCTGTTTGGATTTGTTGACAAATAGTGGTCTGCGATCGAAGCTGGTTATAACAGCTTGGGAATGAGTTGGTACTTTTTTATTCTTCCAAGAAACGATGCGATTTTGAGTTACATGAACAGATGCAGATGAGACACGTGGAATATGTTCTATAATTCCAAATGGAGCAACTATATAAATATCTTCACTAGATGCAGCTGAAGTACTTGGAATATTTCCTGACTGTGTATCTAATGTATTTTTGGACGGATCTTCCATATCTTCTTCGTCTTCAGCTTGATGTCTATAACTTGCCCTTTCAAGAGAAATAGCTTTGTAAACGGACTTCATATCTCGACTAAGATTGCCAGTTGCACTTCTTCGAAAACTTATTATTTTATTACAATAGCCGCACTTAGCTTTCCCTTTACCTACTATTTGAAAATGAATTCCAAAGTTCAGTACGTTTATTTTTTTAACTCAGACATCCTTTTTTAAAAATGTAGTGGAGACAGAGACAGTTTCGCCATGTTAATCGCCAACGTCAAGGGGACTTGATAGGGCACGTTAAGAAGTGGAGATCTATAAAAAATATAAAGCCATGGTAAAACCAACACCATATCATAGCAAGTAGTAATAAATTTACACAGGGGTTCATGTAGATATTGTTAAAAAGATTACTATCGTATATAATGTATACTACCATATATGTTAATCTAGGTTATTCTCAAATATGCAGTATTCTTAAATTTGCATTCAAAAAAACCCTTGTTAATATTTCTATTTAATACTGCAACAATAAATTTGAAAAAGAAACATTCCAGAAGTGGTATGTTATGGTCTTCAATCCATTTTAAACTCTTTTTTGAGGTATGACGACCTGATTCTTCTAAAATATTCAAATATTTGATAGTATTTACAATCCCATCGATAAAATTTAACTTTCCCACACCTTCAGACGACGTGCTGCCCCAGATCATGACAGCTGCAGGAAATTTGACTTTTCTCTTCAGACATTCGGGATGAAAACCTTCATTTTTCCTGCGAATGACGCGACTCCTACTGTCTCCAACACACACTCCAAATCTGGACTCATCACTCCAGTATATTGAATCCCATTGCGACTAAATTTAATCTCTTTTGACCATCTTAGTCTATTTTTCTTTTATTGTAATGTTAGAAATAGCTTTTCCTTAAAACCTCCAAAAAATGCTTAACTCCATATAATTTACTCGTCGATTTTTCACTATAATCCGTCTTAATACCCTTCGATCTGCTTCGGATATTTTACTTTTTCGTACATTTCTAGGTTGTGTGACGACCGAACCTGTAGTTTTGTATCTTCTGACTATATTTCTTACACTATAGCGTAACAATTCCATTATATTCGCGATTTCCGAATTGGATTTTTCAGAATTAAAAATCTAGTAATAATTGAACAAATTTGAAACATCGATAACTTTACCTTGACCCATTGTATAATCCACAAACGATAAAAAGTTTTATAATACTACAAAAAACATTTGACATTACCTGACAATATTATTATTTTGATGTTATTTTTCCATAGCTTATTGTTCATTGCAAGATAAATTCCGAAATTAGATTTGTAAAAGTAAAGTTCGTGTAACCTTTTGACTTTTGGTCCACACTGTTTTACGTGCCCCTCAAAGTACGGTAGCGAACCCGAGCGCTACAGCTTGTTAAGGCAGTAATATAACCGCTTACCTCAGATTTATAAAATGGACGAATTTGCATGATTATTATTTATTTCAATATTTAAAACAAGTATTTTTATTTCCTTTTTCAGAAAAGACAAAAAGATGGCTCTAATCCAACTACCCAGCATGGACGACGCAGTTGTAGCCCTGATAAAGATGCACAACTATCAGCTGTCCGACTCTAACCATTTAAGAGTCTCGTTTTCAAAATCTAACATTTAAGAGGCGTTTGTGAATCCCAAAACAAAACAGTATTCATTCCATTTTAAGAAGAAAGAACACGCACCGTGCAACGGTAACAAAATGACATGGTAGCTAAATGAAAATGTTGTAACACAGCGCTTATTTATTGATATAATATATAGACTGTTATTTTTTGGCAAGATTTCGCTTCTGGGCCAATCTGTGTTTAAATTTGGAAGTTGTTGTAACACATGTTAGTTTTCGTCAAATATTTATTGCTAGTAAGTTGAGCTAAAAATGAAAAAATCATTTGTCATATCATTGGATTATATTTTGAAAATGTCATTGTAATATAAACATCAAGATTACTTAATTTGTTAATGTTTAGACCACATTGAAATGTGTGTCAAAATTAAGAATTCGTTTCGTTTATTATTGGTATTTTTTGAGCATAAAGATTATATATAATCATTAGTAAAATACATAAATAGCAAAATATAAAAATTAATATACATGAAACAAACAAAACAGTTTGGCCTATTTCTTTTAAACGATGACACAGAAACGTGGTAATGTACGTTTAAGTTGTTAGTTATTAAGTTAGTATTATTTTTTACTATACTATTTGCTATTTTGTATTCTCTCTTTACTTAATCCCAGTACTCGAATAGATATTTACTATATTTTCTTTTTCTTGCGTTTAGTGTTCAGTATTGAAATGCTTTAATACTGTTAGTAAAAATTTAGAGTTATGGTTGGATATACGCGGCGATGTTATTTTTTGTAAGTTTATAGAAATGTTTATCCATGTTGTATAGAAAAAAAAAACATGCAAAAGGACGACTTCGCATACAAGACATAGGACTGTGTCTCTACATGTAGGTACGAAAGTTTTCGTTAGAAAATAGTACAAAAAAGAAGTAGGATTTGAAAACAAAGTTGTGCATACGATTTATGTATCAACGAGGCCAGTCCAAATGAAAAGATATATTTTGAAATATGGACGGCATTCGTTTAACAGAAACGAACAACCAGGGTGTGATTTTTAATATATAATATATAACTTTGATATGGAATTTTTGAATGCCCTAAATAATTCAAAATAATATTCAAATGTGATTTCAGTACTGATATTTGTACCAGACAGTAGGTCCTATTCACCGCGCTGCGCAGGTTTTCCCAACTCTACACAAATATATGGAGAATATATGGAGATATATGGAGAACAAATATTGAGAAAACCTGTGTGGAGTCGGAGCTTTGTAAGCGAGGTCTCTTTGGGGTTAGTTCTTAATCCAGAGCTCGTCCCGATAGTATTATATATGGCTAGTATTGTTAGTGATGTCGCGGAATTTCTAGACGTAAAGTTAGTTTTAGCCAGTGAATTAGTATAGGAATACCACAGGGTCTAGTTCTACCCTAGAGATATGAACGTCTTTCTCTAAATATATTGTATCACCAGAAAACGTTTCATAGTTAAAAAAAATTAAGTTTGAAGCATTGTAATTCGGTGGACATCTACATTGCATACGTAACTTGTTCTCTTAGTTGAATCTCTTTAAATTTTAAGTGTTATAATTGTAACAAATTTCTGGAAACGTAAAAAATTGTGAATTTCCAATAATGAAAGTTTTGTTTTCAAATTTTACTAGACAATGTTTAGATAAATTAAATCCAGAGATTTGTCAATGCAGTCATATGTCCACTGACATGTCGCATTCCCGGTGATAAGTGACTCTAACAAGTTATTTTGACAAGTGATTTTTTTTTAAATCTGAAGACGATCGAAACGTCTCGAACTTCACCGCGAATGCGTGCTTGTGTTTCAAACATCAACTGTACTACAATTACTACTTCTAAAACAAAAGACAGTTGAAGTTTGTGTATACACTCTTAATATAGTAACTAATATTTCTTATTCTATTACTAATACTATTTACACTTTGACAATCATAAAAATCATACTTCTTGCAAATACTGAATGTAAACGCGTGAACTACTCTTCTCTACTAATCTCTCGTCTCTATGGGTAATGAAAAAATTGATACCGGTCAAAAAACGTGTATGCAGTTATCATTTAGCTCCAAAACTTAATCACAACAAATCTTAAAAGCAAAATAAATTTCCTATCAAGAATTTTTTCAACAGTTTGGTGCTTGTAAAGATGATTTTTCAGTGAGTTTAAAAATCAGTATCATAAAAAAAAGTATCAAACGATGTGTGTTGTTCAGTATTTGAAGAAATTTAGCAAAAGAACAGAAAAAAACAAAAAAGGCAACATGAATGCAAGAAAATTTGCTGATACAAAAGAAATGTATTCCAGCAGTATAATTTTTTATTCATCTTTACAATCTATAGTAGGAAATCTTTTATTAATAGACGATTTCTGGATGGAAATTCATGTTCAATAATATAACCTGAAATTTTACCTACTATTTTTAATATCCACCTAATGTAGTCAACTTGGGACGTTTCACCGAAACATGAGCTTTGTCTTAAGAATTATCTGTATTTGTAGAGTAGGGGAGCGAGTTAAGTTCCACAGCACTTAGGCCACAATTAACCCATTGTCCATCCTGCCATTTCCAGGAGGGTGGACAAGTCACCAAGGAGATATCTCGCTTATGTGGGCCAGGACTGGCCGAAGGCGTACTCTCTTATTAACGATAACTCCGGACATTTTTGTCTTCTCGTTCACACTTCCTGCATAGAGGTGTGCCTACTAGCCCTAGTGTGTGGAGGTGTTTGTTTAGTTGACAATGACCAGTTAAAAAACCAACTGTCAAGCATAGATTTTGCCTGATCATTCCCAAGTATTTCTTTGATGCTGACTTTTTAGGGTTAGTGTTACCCCGGCATGTCTACATCCTTGTATTTCTTCCCATCTTTTTAAGGTTTGAGTATAGGAGTGATATTTGACAATTTCTGCGATTGTTGCAGTTGACCAACCAAAAAGATCTCCAGGTCCTAAGAGTCTTAGGCCTGCCGCCTTCCAAGCCAATTGGTCAGCAATGCAGTTGTCTTTATTCCTATTTTGTCCTTTAACCCACGCAGGATGATGGTGTTACCATCCAAAGCTTGAGTTAGTGACTCGTGAGACTCCATTACTAAGCCTGATATGACAGGTAATTCATTCAAGGTTAGTAGCGCTTGTCTGCTATCTGTGCAGATTATTATAGTTTATATACTATACCTTTTTTGCGGCTTTGGAGATACCAGCCAGTTCTGTCTGAACTACGATAGCATTTTTGCCCATACCCCACTTTATTCTTAGGTTCAGTGATCTGGATTATATCCCGTATCCTGAGCCTCTTCCATTTTTGGAGCCTTCTTCCATTCTGAATTATAATTCTTAAGAATTATAATTTTAAACTAACTTTTATGCGGACCATATATGTATACTTTTAATCCATCTAAATACAACAAAAAATATATTATGGGTACTAATTTTAAAGCCAACCTTCCATAACCTTCGAGCAATGGAAACATCTAAAATTTGCCTTCCTCATTTTTGATGATGGATAACTTCTACAAAATTTTCTTTTGGAAACATTATCATCTAGAACATTGTGGCCCATATTCTCGATAGACGAATCCGAATTAATTCCCAAATGCAGGCCTAGGAAGATTTATGTCTTTGCCTTCGATGAAGCTGAAGTTGTTCAAAGGCCAATTTTTTACAAATTTAAAACAAGAAAGTAATTCATTTAACGTTAACGTTAGTTTTGTTTGTCTGTTGTGTGATGCATAGATTATAATAAAAGCACAGCTCTACTTCGCTTTAGTACATATGATATCAAGGTTATGTAATTAGAAAAGCTATAAAGTATTGTACCAATACCCCTATATTTATTAGCCTGGAATTTCAAGGGAACTACTCGCTGATTCTTTTTAAATATACCCTCATAAGTGAGGTTACGTTTTTTTAAACTCATTTGAACTAACTCTATTGAAGAAAAATAGTTGTTACCGGTAATATTTCGATTAGTGCTCTCTATTGGCTTTGATAGTTGGATAACACATTGAGCAGATTTGGAAAGCTTCAGTTCTTTCTCTGAATGTCTAACACCATCCGAATGTTTTCCTCAATATATATATATATATATATATATATATATATATATATATATATATATATATATATATAAATATATATATATATATATATATATATATATCTTCTAGCCATTATAGCTAGAAGATCTTGTCATCTGTCAGGTTTGCAGGTTTACTGAGAATGTTCATTCTAAAACCACAGTGATCTCTAAGAGGACGTAGCATCTCATGAACAGTTGCACAATTGCCCAATGTGAATAGCTTTTGGCAATTGGATACAAAATTATTGAAAATATTAGAAACAGTCGCTGTTCTACCCATGCTATTGTCAAATCTAAGACAACATATCAATACTTCAAACCTTAAAAACATCGTCATTCTAAATATTGGGCGAGCCAAAACATTTAGAAATTAATTGAAGAAGCATATCCTCAAGAGAAGATTTTATCATTGAAGATAACATAAAAATTCCAAGCAAACCCTTGTTTAGTACAAAGTGAGTTTAAAACCAATAAAAATCCTCTTTTACATATACAGATGGTTGCCTACCTTAAAATAGTCTTATGAGCAAGCTAATGTGTCAGTGACATATGTCAAATTGACTGTAATGTGTGGAAATTAAAAAGAGTGTTGTGTATTATGTTATTAGGAAGTTTTCAAACTAAAAGAAAGTTTTAGAATATAAAAAATCTATTAGAACGAGTTTTTTGTGGAGCTAAATGGTTGATAGTGTACTCATGAGAAGACACGCAGCATTTTTGCCAAATTCGAAGTCAATATCTACTTAACTACATAAATGTGTATGTGTTAAAGAATATATTTTTTAAATTCTCATTTTTTAAGTACGCGCACAAGGTATCTCAAAGTATCAGTATAGATTCGTTTCTAATTCAAATCTTTAGTTTCTTTAATATCGCAACTGTTTTGTTTTGTAAGCTGCTTCTCAGGTTTTTCTCGTTAATTTTAGTTTCTAAGTTAATTAA